CTGCCTCCGATCTGCTTAGCTAAAGCAAGGCAATTGCGCCACATGTTTCTTGTGAAAGCCATTGGCTAGAAGCATTAATGTTCGTACACAGTGCACTTCAGCACATGTACCAGTGGTAGCAAAAGAATAGCAGCGGCAATGAACCGTTAAGCTTCCAGCAATGGTGCTGTGCTACTTCTATAGCTGTGCAACTTATGAAACTGTAACAGCTGACCACTTTGCAAATGGTTCCTGCAAACTTGATGTTCTGACTGTGAGAGATACCGGTGTAGCCACAACAATAATTGCCCTAAAATCAGCAGCTGCACTGTGGCTGCAATCTGAAATATCATACGAAGTAAATCCCATTGAAATCAGAAAGGCCAGGGTGATTGTGAAGGTTAGATAGCAAGATAGCAAGAAGTCCAGAGACCAATAGCCCTCTAGCTATTCTGGCTTTTGGATAGCCCCCCGCGAAGCCTCTGTAGGGCAGCGGGAGGAAGGCTCCCCGCTGCCCTGCGGAGGCTTTGTGTGGCTGTTGTGGGATGTGGGGGGCTCTGTCACTTCCCCCACCTCCCAGAAAAGCTCCCTTTAAAGAGCGCGCGGTTCTTGCGGGAGATGGGGGAAGGTACAGAGGGCAGCTTAACCGCGCACAGCCTCTTCCAGGTAGGGGGAGCCTTCATCCCATTGCCCAGGAGAGGCTTCAGAGGCTATCCCAGAAGCCAGAACAGCAAGAGGCTATCCCAGAAGCCAGATCCCTCTTGCTGTTCTGGCTTCTGGGATTCAGATTTTTTTTTTCTTGTTTCCACCCCCACCCCCACAAACTAGGTGCGTCTTATCGTCTGGTCGTCCTATAGAGCGAAAAATACGGTAGGTTTTTTTTGCTCTAGAGCTGGGGTGGCCCTCCAGATATTGCTGCCCCACAGTGCTCATCAGCTCCAGCAAGCATGGTCCATGGCTAGGGCTGATGGGAGTTGTAGTTCAACAACAACAACAAACCTATGGTTACGTAAAACATACTCGATAAACACACAAGACGTAACCGGCTGTACTTTTGAATAAACAAGGTATACTATTCATTGTATCAAATTGTAGATTTCAACGGAAGTTTCATAAAGTTCAACGAAAAAAGCAGAAGACCCAGTAGATCAGTTCCACCCGTCTGTTCATAGAGTCCAATAATCCACATGAAGGGTTGTTACAGTCCCACAGAATCCTTTCACAGAGTCTAAGACAAGGTTTCTCCGGAATATTAGCCTTGTTTCGCCATCCTAGGCTTCATCAGTAGAACAGGCTCATATGTAATATTACAGGATAGTGGATCTTATATCATAGTAGTGGTTGCAGTAAGAAACGACTGTTACCAGTCTGTTCTACTGATGAAACCTAGGATGGCGAAACAAGGCTGTAACAACCCTTCATGTGGTTTATTGGACTCTATGAACAGGCAGGTGGAATAGACACTTATACATGTATGGTCCTTATGCATGAACTGACTAGAGAATGAACTGATCTACCAGGTCTTCTGCTTTTTTCGTTGAACTTTATGAAACTTTTGTTGAAATCTACAATTTGATACAATGAATAGTATACCTCATTTATTCGAAAGTACAGCCGGTTACATCTTGTGTGTTTATTGGGAGTTGTAGTTCAGCAACTTCTGGAGGGCCAAAGATGCCTCAGAGCACAGAGGAGAGCGATGATGACGCCAGCGCCACAAAACACAGCAGAAGAGCCAACATTGCTAGGCTGCCCACAAATGTCAAAAAAAGAGCAAAAGTATCACTGCCAAATCAGGCGTGTGCACCCTGTGGTGTACTGACAGGCCACCTGAGCCACCCAAAAAGGCAACGGCTCACAGTCATGGAATGAGGAAAAAGTGAATGTTTTACCCATCAGAAACAGCGAGAGGCGGGTGTTTTTCAGGTGGGTGGGGCTCCTTCAAGAAGGGGATCAGGAACCAAGCAGAAGTGGTGGTGGGACAACAATGGGTGGTCAGAGGAAGAAGACTGGGAAGAAGAGGGGTCAGAAGCTGAAGGGGTTAGTGAGCTGGGAAAGTCGTGGAAGAGAGACGTCCAGAATCAGAGACAGAACAACAACAACAACAACAACAACAACAACAATTTATTATTTATACCCTGCCCATCTGGCTGGGTCCCCCCAGCCACTCTGGGCGGCTTCCAACAAAACACTAAAATACAATAACCTAGTAAACATTAAAAGCTTCCTTAAACAGGGCTGCCTTCAGATGTCTTCTAAAAGTTTGGTAGTTATTTTTCTCTTTGACATCTGGTGGGAGGGTGTTCCACAGGGCGGGCGCCACTACCGAGAAGGCCCTCTGCCTGGTTGAAGTTGAAGCTGGTGAGTGGGAGGAGGAAGGCCTAAAGCCAGAGATGTGTCAGGGTGGGGAAGAGTCACAGGGTGGTGAGAAGCTCCCCTCCGCCTTGTTTCTCAGAACCAGAAGAGGCATGAAAAGGGTGGAGAAGAGGTTGGCTGCACAGAGGCACAGTCTCTGACTGCTTGGGAAAAACCCTTTGCTCAGCGCTTCCCAGCGGAGAGGTGACGGTGGTTTTCCTTGCTGCATCACCTTTGCTGGGTTGCTGCGCTGTGGGAACCATCACTTGAGGCTTTGTTTGGCTGCTGGCTGGGCTTTCTGCCTTTGGCTCGGAGGGGCTCAGAAGTTGAACATACCTGTGCTCTGAAAATCCCTTATTTTGGCTGCTGATCCCTTATTTTCGAGGCTGCTGGTCCCTTATTTTCAAATCTGTAAGTTGACAGCTATGCTGCTGACTGGGAGACATAGGTGACAAGTCTCTGGGGCCCTGGGTGCCTGAGCACCCACAAATTTCCCCATGATACCCACAGATTTTTGTGGCAGGGCTATGCACGCTACATGGCACCCATGGCTTTGGGCACCCATGGTTGCGGAGTCAAGTTGGCACTCCTGCTGGGCGAGATGACTGCCTGAAACAATGGAAAGGCACTGCTAGTCTGTGTAGACAGTACTGATGGACCAATGGTCTGGCTCTGTATAAGGCAGCTTCCTATGCTCCCACTTCTCCCAAAGTTTCCTGGGAACTGTAGTTTGTCAAGTGTGCTGGGAATGGTAGTTCAGGGAGTAAAGTACAATTGCCAGGATTCTTTTTCAGAGTGGGGAAATGGTTTTAGATGTATGGTGTATACAGAGATTTGGTTCCTCCCTGCACTCTACATTGGGCTACCTTTGAAGGCGACCCTGGAAACGGCAACTAATCCAGAATGTGGCAGCTAGACTGGTGACTGGGAGCGGCTCAAGGGACCATATATCACTGGTCCTGAAAGACCTACATTGGCTCCCAGTACGTTTCCGAGCACAATTCAAAGTGTTGGTAAAAAAAGGTAAAGGACCCCTGACAGTTAAGTCCAGTTGCGAACAACTCTGGGGTTGTGGCGCTCATCTCACTTTACTGGCTGAGGGAGCCGACGTTTGTCCGCAGACAGTTTTTCTGGGTCATGTGGCCAGCATGACTAAGCCGCTTCTGGCAAAACCAGAGCAGTGCACGGAAACGCCGTTTACCTTCCCGCCTGAGCAGTACCTATTTATCTACTTGCACTTTGACGTGCTTTCAAACTGCTAGGTTGGCAGGAGCAGGGACCAAACAACGGGAGCTCACCCCGTCATGGGGATTTGAACCGCCGACCTTCCAATTGGCAAGCCCAAGGCTGAGTGGTTTACACCACAGCGCCACCCCTAAACAGCCTCGGTCCAGTATACCTGAAGGGGCGTCTCCACCCCCATCGTTCAGCCCGGAATCTGAGGTCCAGCTCCGAGGGCCTTCTGGCGGTTCCCTCACTGTGAGACGTGAAGTTACAGGGAACCAGGCAGAGTGCCTTCTCGGTGGTGGCGCCCGCCCTGTGGAACGCCCTCCCTTCAGATGTCAAGGAAATAAAAAACTACCTGACTTCTGGAAGACATCTGAAAGCAGCCCTGTTTAGGGAAGTTTTAAATGTTTGATGTTTTAATGTGTTTTTAATATTCTGTTGGGAATTGTCCAGAGTGGCTGGGGAAACCCAGCCAGATGGGTGGAGTATAAATAATATATTATTATTATTATTATTATTATTATTATTATTATTATTATTCCTCCCCTCTTTCCTCCCTCCCGATCTTTCTCTTTGACTTATTTTCTTGCAGCTGCTACTTTTCCTTCCTGCCTCAGCAGAGGAGTCAGAAGGTGCAGTTTGCAGACACAGTCTTACGGAATGATCATGTTGCAGCAACAAACAACAGCAACAACCCTGAGATTAAGGTCATGACTGGAGTCCCTGTCACTCTCTTAGGAACCATTGTACTCCTGCTCCTATTTCATTCAGCACACTGGACAAAATATTGGACTGAGTCATACGTTCAATTAGAGTAAAAAAAAAAGTGTGGCTTTTTACTATATTTCCTTTCAAAACACTCTCAGCAAAGTTCAAACAACAAGTCTAGCTGTACCTTGGACGGAGCTGTCGTGTGTCCACATGGGGAATAATTTTTCCCTGCTGATATTTTTGAGGTTATTTGCAATAACCTGACGTCACAAGAGTGATGCTCCACACACCCACCGTCCCATTTGAATGGGAGTTAAAATAGTTCAGACCGAACCTAATCTAGCTAAACCCAAGGAGCGGCCAAAAAACGAAAGGGAAAGTTTGACAGAGAGGGAAAACAGGAAGGAAAAAAAAGTGGGTCTAAGTCCGCTGAATCAAACTTATCCCCTTTCTCTAGCCCCCACTGCTCTGGCTGCTACGGTTTCCAAACTTTTATTTATTATTTATTTATTCCATACAATTTATACCCTGCTTGATTGTAAAAAGAAAAAAGGGGGCGGGGGCTGGAAACCCTCAAAACGGTTTCCAAAAAAGAAAGAGAGAAAGCAACAAAATTATCAATAAGAAAAATTAGGAACAACAATGTAAGACTTTCAAAATGGAATCATAGAACTGTGAAGGGACCCTGAAGATCATCTAGCCCCCTGCAATGAAGGAATATATGCAGCTGCCCCAAATGGGAATCCGAACCTGCAACCTTGGCATTATCAGCACCATGCTCTAACCAGCTGAGCTATCCTAACATTACTCTAAAAACAGATTAAAACTCGCGGCAACTTTCTTAACATCTGGGCAGGCTTGTCTAAAGAATATATATATATATATATATATATATATATATATATATATATATATTTAGCAGGTACTGAAAAGTGTACAGTGATATCAATAGGCAGGGAGTTCCAAAGATGCTGCCACACAAAACGATCAAGTTATTACAAATTTGAAACAGGTATTTCTGTGGTACTTGTAGCAGTGCCAGTTCTGCCAATCACCTTGCCAGCAAAGGTCCGTATAGTAAAAGCTATGGTTTTCCCAGTAGTGATGTATGGAAGTGAGAGCTGGACCATAAAGAAGGCTGATCGCTGAAGAATTGATGCTTTTGAATTATGGTGCTGGAGGAGACTCTTGAGAGTCCCATGGACTGCAAGAAGATCAAACCTATCCATTCTTAAGGAAATCAGCCCTGAGTGCTCACTGGAAGGACAGATCGTGAAGCTGAGGCTCCAATACTTTGGCCACCTCAGAGAAGACTCCCTGGAAAAGACCCTGATGTTGGGAAAGATGGAGGGCACAAGGAGAAGCGGACGACAGAGGACGAGATGGTTGGACAGTGTTCTCGAAGCTACCAGCATGAGTTTGACCAAACTGCAGGAGGCAGTGGAAGACAGGAGTTCCTGGCGTGTTCTGGTCCATGGGGATACGAAGAGTCGGACATGACTAAACGACTAAACAACAACAACAACAACAACATATCTACTAAGGCAGTCTTCATTCATACTTCTGTATATTGGCCTGGAATCTTTTGTTGAAGGTCTAGTTGAGAAACATTTTTAAATTAAAATAATAGGACTGCGTCCTAAGGACATGTAGCTGGGCTGCAGGCAGGAAGGGAAAGGGGTGGTGTATAAATTTCCAAGTAGCACCTAACAATCACGATAGCTTAAGTGGCTATTATTTACAGAACACAGAGCTGTTAACTGAGGGACACAACATGCCACTCAGATACCTAGGATAATATAGGGGTAATTGCTTCCCCCTTAAAGGAGAATGGGACAAAATGAGGATTTGCAGGATGTTCTGTCTTGAGTCGTTAATTCCACTGTGATATATTTCTCCCTCTCCTCTCCAAAGCACATTCTACAATGCCAGCTTTGTTACTTTTCAGAAAAAGAAGACCAAAAACAGCAATCATCAAAAGTAGCTTCCAGAATAGATGGTAATTTCACATTGCACCTTTCGCCCTCCATTCAAAAGCTTTTTGAAGGAGAACAGTGGGGACATCAGCTCAAAATAGCCATCAAAAGGAGCAATTGGTACCCTACATCTCTGTTTATTGTGGGTTTTTTGGAGAGCGAGAAAATCTGTCCTGTGTGACCCTCCCTTTGAACACTGTATCATTATTTTTGCAAAATCCCATTCACTTCTGTTGCTTCCAAGGGCTGCCTTAAAAGTTAGAAAAGCTAAATAAAAAGACACTTAAGTTTTCAAAGGTGCTTGGTGGGGGAGGGTGGGGGAGAGAATGAAATATTTTATTAAATTTCACTGAGGCTCAAGCTACAATTTCCATAGAATTGAATGATCCTTTCCTGTGTTGGAATGCTGCGTGGAGAAAAAGGCTGACTAACTCTCTGCTTTCTCTGCTCTAAGTCACCCTCCCAAATATGTTCTATCTCACTGTTCCAAATGATTGGTTAATCACAGAATCAGAGAGCTGGGAGGAACTTCAGAGGTCTTCTAGCCTAACCGGTGCATGGAGGAAATCTACATGGAATCATAAAAATACAGAGTTGGAAAGGGTACCAAAGAAACCATTAGGCAGTGTCTCATTATGGGAAATCATTGCCGCAGAAGGGTTTTGTGGCACGTGATGGTTGATGGAATATGAGAGCCATATGGAGAAAGTGAGGTCCCTTCAGCTCCCTCCACAGATTTTTGATGGGATTAAGATCAAATACTTCTTTCACTCATTATAATGCACATCAATCTCTGACTTTTGTCTTCTGGGTTTCTGGGGTTTTTCCTGTTGTTATTCTGTCTCTCACAGCTACAATAAACCTACCATTAAAATTATGGACTGGTCATTTCTTCACCAGAGGGCAAATGGGCAAAGTTAGCAGAGGATCAAATACTTTCCCCCATCACTGTATATGTAAATCTCTCTCTCTCTCTCTCTCTCTCTCTCTCTCTCTCTCTGGGGTGGGCAACCTTCAGAGCTTACCTGTTGAGGGCTGCCTGGTGCTGGTGTCCAGGTCATGAGCTAATGATGGGCAGAAACAACAGTGTCCTGAATGAACTAGTCTGTTACAATGGCCACCTGCTAGTCCCTGATCTCTGTGACTATCTGAAATTAGAATTCAAAATCCTATGCAGAAATGAGCCTCACTGGGATTGCTGGGATTAATCTCAAAATAAAAATTCAATGGACTTAAAAAAAACAACAACAACTACAGCAGACCCATGCAGCTGCTGTCCTGGAAACCGAGGGAAAGTAATTCCTTTCTGACTTTCGTGTGCTATACAGACACACTTGGTATAGAAGCCTACCAGTTTGTCCTCATGCAGCTGAGCAGTCTGTTCCCCAAGCCATGCAACCAGAAAAGAAGCTTTTGTTTAAATTATGTTTATGAAATAAATTACTCTTTGAAAGTACATAAGAAGATAAACACTTCTGAAAGCCAGGAAAAATAAGGAGGGAAGGAATTTGGGTGGAAGGGGGAAATGGGGCAACTTTGGGTAGTTCAGGGGCAACAACAAAAAATTAAGCTTTCCTTCTTCTTTTGGCAAACCAAGATTTCCTAATAAAATGCATTTTTAAATGTTATTTTCACAAATATATGCATTTTTGTGCACACAGCCCCCAGTATACACATTCTTGTATGCATTCCTTGGCTGGAGAACTGCATTGCAAAATTTGGAGAAGTGTGACTTCTGACGAGTGGCGGCATTTCGATTTGTGTATTGTTTTCGAAAATGTGAATGATGTATAGTAGGTTTGTTGTTAAATGCCATCTGAACTGATTTTGCCCCCCATCCCTACCTGCCCTCTAGGGAGTTATTGTGGGTCTGTTGATTTGCTGCTTCTTAGGAAGTGTCTCCCTCCACTTAGGATCACTTTTATCCTTGTAAATAAAACTCACAGATTGCAGAGCTACCTTAAGTCCACCTTAGAAGAAACCCTGGGAAGTGCTACCTCTCTAGACTATATCGCTGGTAGGAGAAGTGGAGAAGAACACATTAACAATACGACAGAGTTTATATCTCATGTACATGGCTGGTTTTCCAAACAGCAAAAAATATTGCCAAGGCATTTAATAATCCACAAAGTGCTCTCTCTCTTTCTCTCTCTCTATCCCATCTGAATCTGGGTTCTGTCACTATATCCGAAAACTTCTTTTTCTTTGTTCAAAACAGATGATCATCACCACCTCTCCTTCCTTCCCCAAATAAACATAGAACAGTATAAACAGAATGCAAAGCAACTCAGGGATTGAATGCAATTATTTTTTTTGCAACATTCTAGGGAGCTATTAGGCATTGTAGCCCTTGACAGAATTATTTCTTTTAAAAGAATAACCTTTGGGTGCACCCCTTGGTATTTAAATGAATATCTTGGGTGTGAAACCCATGGAAACATATGAAAACAAGGAGAGAGAACATACATTTCAGAACAACAAAACAAACTTCTTTTAAAAACAATGGAAAGAGAAGAGCAAATTTAATTTAGGAGGCTGACTGGGGAATTTCTCTTTTCCAGTAAGCTGACTCAAAGTGTTCAAAAAGAATATCAGATTAAAAATAGGCTTGTAGGTCTTGCCAATGTCATCAGTGGAGAGTCACCAGATCATTCATTCCTCCAGTTCAGCTACAGGTATTTCTTTTGCATGAAGGTCTTTTAAATTTATCAGTTTGCTCAATTAAGTTCTCCTTGCAGAAGCTGAACTCCTCACCCCCCTGTCTAATTTGGAGTAACAAAAACCAACCCAAATTTCAACACGATCAACAAAGAAAAGCTTCTTCCTTTTGGGTGATGGAAATAATGGAAAAAGTAATGAAGTAGAGAAGCAAGTTTGCCTTGGGAAGCAGTCACCCTGTTGCTCTAGCATGCCACACCATTAAAAGTTACAGAAATAGCCTTCTTTTGCTGCTTCTCTCAGCTCAAGAAGATTTAAGCCCAAAGCAAGTTTGGAGGAAAATTCTGATCTTCACTGAGTTACAATAACTACAGTTGTTCAGGCAGGGGGGAAAATCCCACCCCCACCCCAGGATACATTGAGATGAAAGCAACTCAATAAATAACCCACAATCAAAACTCCAATACTTTTTCATATTAGTTTTTCATCCCACTATAACACATGTTAAAATAGAAAAGTTTAATAAAGTTACCTGCTTGTTTTCTCACTTCCGTTTTCTAGGTTCTGCTCTGGAAGTCAGCTGCAATAGTTAAATGATGTGTGTGGTCTTTCTAAAGATCAGAAAAGATTTCCTGGTGATCACTCTTTTTGTAGCATCTTTTCCTGTCTGGTTTTTTTTTTTAACTAAAGGTACTCCTTGTTGCTAAGAGATGGGTTGCTAAGAGATTTTTGTGTATGAGGAGGTGGCAGGTCAGGGGGCTTTGCAACCCCAAAGAGAATTTTGTAAATTAACCTCTCTAGCAGAATGTACTTAAGCCCCTGCCCCAAAATCCACTGACGGTGGATTAAAAAAGGAATCCAACTGAAAAGAAATTAACCTGTTTGAATGCTCAGTGGCTTGACGAATGGGTGAGGGAGCTACAAGAGATAGTTTGGCGAAGAGCAACGATGTGCTGTTAGTTAGGCAAAAACTTTGATGCTCAGCATCACAATGCGAAGATGAAGGTGAAATGAGACTTAGGATTCACGTGGCAATTGCAAACTTGAATGTAGCAATCCTGGCCATCGCTCCCTGTCTGGTTATATAGCCTGGAAGATGTGCTATCATTACATGGGGCATTTACTTGCCCTGTGAAGGGGAAATGGAATGGTTACAGACACTTCA